GATGGAACTTTTGCCCTGGCTTGACATTTGTGTTAGCCATTCATTTTTATTATGGGAACGAGCAGCTTGGTTACTCTACTATAAATAACTACTCATTAAGGCATGCAACAAATGACTGAATATTCAGTTTGTGTGAAAGATTTCTTAACAAGGAAAGAATACCACCAATATTTCCATCAAATATAAAGCTCAAACTAATGAGGCTCTGTTTTATCTCATTAAGGTGAAGAAAAAAAATGTAAGCAAAGTTTGAAATGGGGAGTTCCTATTAAAAGTCATCCCCAGATCATTTACTGCAAGAGCATAATCTGCCCCAGGGGTCATCATTAAGTGATCATCTGCTATGCTTTAAACAATTCCCAATCATTTCTTCATAGATAAACCTCAGAGAACCAACAGGCTTTAAAGAGGGATGGGCATTCACTAATTGGAATTGCTCTTTTGTGTTGGAGGATTACTGGTGCAACCACCATTAGTTCCACGCTTTGCTTTCAACATCCTTCCCAAGGACTCTCTTCAGAGGCAAGGATCATTGCTGCAACAAGAGCGCCTTTACAGGAAAACTAGTGCATTGGTGCACTGGGTAACATAATGAGAAGGCACTACGTCTTGAGGTTCATAAAACAAAACTGTTATTTATGCTGATTATACTAGTTTTCTAATCAGAAATAGATTTTTTGTACATCCCTAGAAGATTTTGAATATGCCCCATGGCCTTCCCATGTATTGCAGAATTTCACTGAAGCATCATTATCCTTCAAAGTTTCCTCGAAGGAGCTTTTTATGTTTCCTTCCAGCAGGTAATTTGTGCAGAAACTTCGAGTAGTCCTCTCCAGACTGCAGGACGTTATTACTGACCATGACACCTTCATTACCTCACATTAGTTTTCAGTAATAAATGACCCTCTGGACTACAGCCATCTACACATTTATAACATCTTACTCATATTTATGGTTTAGAGTAGCTAAAAAAAATCAAAAAAGCTAAGTCCTGCTACTGATTATTTCATTTTTAAAGTCATTTTTAGGCTTTTGGTATGGATACACAAGAAAGCAAATCTCTTCCAATATCATTTACATTGAATGTGGTTGAATGTTGAAGGCTTTTCCATTTTTTCTTTGTGTATTATTTGCGTGAAATATATTTTGAAGTATTTTATTTAAATTTCCATGACTAATTAGGAATTAAATTTAAGAGTATTATATTTTTATGGGTGACAATGCATTCCACTGACAAATAGGAGAAACCCATAAACACAATGGCAAACTCAACATGATTTCCTCAGCAATCATATGTATTCATATGTAAAATGTGCTACTGACACACATACATTTTCATGAATTTGCATAGACATTGAACGTGCATTATCATATTAACAGCTCTCATTTAAATGTTTCAGAGATGTACAAATCTTTTTAAGTTCATTTAATATTTAGTTCATGTAACTAATAGATTGATTTTAACTGTACTGAATTAAATATATTCAACAACCCTCTACATTGCGAGTAAATCACTCGCATATGCGACTAAATCTTCACTCTGGGCGACTAAATGATGTCTAATATTAGCCAATTGCTAATAAATTCTCAGATTTTACTCGCCAGTGTGTGAGTTGGAGGCTAAGTATAAGTTTAGCTCAGATATATTTTCACTCGCCGAACACTCTCTGACTGAGCGCTTCAGAGTTTCACTCTCCGCCAAGCGATCTGTGCTGTTTTTCAGTTCATCTGAATGGATGTGCAACGCACCTGTATTTAACGTACCGTAGTGTGAAGGCGCACGACGACGAGAGGGAGCGAGAGAATTGACGCGCTACCTATGCGCGCTACATGTAAACGATATTCTTTGTTGTATTTTGCTGTCAAATTAACGGAGTTCCTTTGGAATTCTTCCGCTTTTAAGAACTACCGTTTTCTCCGGTAGTGGGCGGAACTAATGCGCAAATGGCAATCTCATTGGCTGGTGCTCACCTATTATCGTCCCTGTTTTGCTTTCAGCAAATCAGTTCGAGCGAACGCACACAACCTGATTAATATTCATGAATCCAGTAGCTCATTAATCCTTGGTGCGTTTTATATTGTTCTTATTAGTAGAATTCGTATCATTGTTATCTTAGCAGTATATTTTGTTAGTTTTTCCCCAATTTTTTAATTTTTGTACAGAAACACCGAATGACCAAAAAAGCACCACCACCAGTCCGAAGTTCAGTTAAAATGACTAATATGCATTCATACATGGTTATCAAGTTTTAATTCTAATTACTAAAGTTCTATCATTAAATAATATAGATTATCATATTATAATGCTTGACTGACTGATGTTAAGAGTGTACTTTCAGATATTTATAAAACTGCCATTTTACAAACAAACAAACATATATATATATATATCAGTCTGGCGAGTAAACTAAAAAATGTACTAGCCAATGGCGATTCAATTGCCAAGGTGTTCGTAGAGGGCTGTTCAATGACATCACATTTATTTAACACATTTACCTGTTTGAATTTCATTCTGGTCTGTGTGATTTCTGGTGCCGTATTCAACTTGTTTAGGATTCCATCACTTTACACTGGATGCACTTTATACGAGTCTAAACTTAGTCTAAAATCTTTAATTCTGTCAAGATTGAATCATTCCTTAATCTTTTAAATTTGTATTTTGTTTGCTGTGAGGTAGCTGTGGCTAAAAAGTAATTGACTTATATACACCATAAAATGATCATAAATGTAATTCAGTCTATTAATGGATTATATTCCAGAAATAATGTCAATTAAAAAAAGTCAGTTAGCTCTATGTGAGAAAAAGGCCATAATTTAACTTTAAAAAAATCTATATAGTACTATATTTTAACTAAATGTGACTTTCACTGAACTTACCTGCCTATTACATTTTGAATAAGTAGATTTAGGGACTCTAAACTAGTAAAAATGTAACTATACAAATATATTTATAATATAATTTAAAAAGTTTTCACATTACTACAGCTAAGCATACATTATATGCTGTCAATACAACCATAAGTTTCAGCATACATTCAAAAAAGCTGACTGAAAAATAGCTACTACAATAAAGCTCTGGTAACCATCAACCTCATCTCTACTGGAAACTATCCAGATTTTACATAATGCATTTTACACCACTTTCATAAAACATGCCTAAACTTTCGAACATGGCATCTGAACACCAACAATAGCTTATATTTATATTGCTATTGTATTCCGATACACATACTGAATATGCCGAACATGGCATACGTCAATAGATAACCACAATTGTACACATATATCCTAAACTTTGTGACCAGTGTTGGGGAAAGTTACTTTTAAAAGTAATGCATTACAATATTGCATTACTCCATAAAAAAGTAACTAATTACGTTACTTAGTTACTTTTTATGGAAAGTAATGCGTTACGTTACTTTTGCGCTACTTTTTAAATCTGGACAGGGCTTGCTTGTTTGTTTTTAAAATAAAAAAGTTCTATTCTTGGCAAATATAAAAGCCTTTTCACACCAAAAGTGAAATGAATAAGCCTCAGGCTGAAGGGAAAGTAAATTTACGTCCGTACAGTAGAATGCAGAAGAAGAAACTTCAACACACTTCAGCAGTAAAAAACACACAAATGTTCGTCTAGAGTAATTTTTGCTTATTAGTACGGTTGAACTGGAACATCGAAGGTCAGAAGCAAAGACATTGGTTAATAGAATCGGATTAAATACATAAAGGATATTTGTGTTGTTTAACATTTAATTATT